TGATTTAACATCCTGCATTTTGCTATTTCAAGTCTGAAATACTTGAATGGGATTTCACTAGAATTACCTTTGAGAATATGTGCAAATTTAGCTTTTAAGTCTTTTATCACTGGACGGTATTAGTACTGCTTTAATAATTACAGTCTTTATATGGAAGATGAAATTGGTCTTATTTTAAGAATGTTTTGCTTATTTTATAAGTTATTCTTTGGTAAAGAACATCAAGCCTGCTTTTATTTTTATAGAWAAGGTTATAAATATCTGGGCACATGGACACAAAAATCTCACYTTACATAYAAAAGAAAATAACCCACTCATTAAAGCTGATGGTTTCGCAGCAAATTTATGCATTAGTGATAATTGTTATAAATAAAAATAGGAGTTCTGATTAACAGTGTGAACTTAATACTTGACATAAAAAGTGTTAACCAAGAAGTGAATACTTTCAAAGGTGTTTTAAACTCAGTAAGTTTTAAAGTTACCTGTCATTTTTCCTTAATAATGTGTCACACAAGTTCTGAGAGGAAAAGGCATTGGCAGCATTATGTGAGGCTTTGCCTTGAAACTTTCACAGTTCTGTTTTATTCATAACCTTACTATTGTACAGAGTGCTTTGAGTTTTTCAGTTCCWTCATTTTTAAATAAGTGAATAGATCTTAGATCAGTGGTACACTTGAAGCGTGGTGATGGTGATGATCACATGCAGGAAGCAATCAAGCTTTGGTGGCATAGAGCTCTACAAAAGCTGTAAACCAGTGTAAATTAGACAGCATGAACCTGTATGCAAATAAATTGGTTCCCATACTTGAATTAGCTCATTRGATGCCTTTTTTTGGGTGTATTTTTGTGTGTAAAGTTCTGTATCCCRAGTAAAAGTTTTTTATCTATGAAAAAGAAAACTGGAGTGCCAGGGGGAATTTTTACAGGCTAAGATCCACATATTATGACACAGTGGAATTACAGTTTAGGCAGATACTTCTTTATCATGTGGCAATATTACTATTTGCAATCCCCAGTAAAATTTGTCCTGCTCTAATAAAAGTACTGCATAAAACATAGTTCAATTTGAACTAGAAAATGGTGATACAAAGCAAGTCTGATTATTTAGATAACGATCCCATTTGACATTCTTTCCCTGATGTGGTCCACTCAAAACTGTATTCTGGCATTTCTGTCAAATCATCCAGTCTCCATGCTTGCCATGTTTGAGAAGAAAGGTTTTTAGCTCAGTTCTGTGACTTCTTTTTTTTTACCCCAGCATCTGAATATCATATAGTCTTCACTGTGCTTTGATTTTGCAAAACCTCCTGGTTGCAAATAGCACTTCAGTTTTCTTATGGCTGCCAAGTGTCATGCGTTTTTGCATAACTATTACAAACTCAGCAGCTCTCTCATCTGCCTGTTTTTCATCTTGATTTATAAACATCCAGCTGAGTTGTGAACAGACTGATGTTAAGTTTCCTGGTTATTAGATTTTTGCATGTTGCTTTGATGCCAGCCAAAGGAGGAAAGATCTTACCTCTGATCTTGCTTCTGATGTTTGCAGCCATTAAGGAATGACACGGGGGAGCAAGTGCAAGAGAAAATTTAGTGGAGTGCTTCAGCAGCAGTAAGAAMAGAAAAGTCAAATATTATCTTAAGGTTATCCATTGGTTTTGTTTTTTTCTCTGTCTCTATTCCTTCCCCAAGGTATCCAGATTATTCTGCCAATAAGGAGCTGCACTTTCCCCAAGAAAGGGCAGATGTACTCTGGTTCCAGATGAGCATTGAAACAGAAGGCTAACATTCGATGAAGTTCTGTTAAGAAAGGGATGCACCATTTCTGTTTGCCAACTCTCTTATGACTAATGCAGGGCAGAAAGCCCAGTTATTCAGCTTCTTGATTCAACTACTGTATATTTTTGAAAGCATTTTTGGTCCTTCAATTAAAAGGGAATGAGCAACTGAGAATCCGTTCCTTAATGAAATCATCTGTTTCARTGGCTGATTCCTTTATCTGTTTTGCACTTACACATTTAGGAACTACTTTCTCCTACGTCATGAGCTAAATTTATCCAGGTTGAACTCCTAATCCCCAGATTTTGTTATGTGTGTATTTGCAAGTGTAGGAAGCAATTCAAYGTCACAAATTCTTTTTTTAACACAAGTTATGTTCTTCTAACTTCTGTAGTCTGTTCTTTTACTTGATTGCTTCCAAAGATTCTTGTTCTTCCTGTTTGCTTTTGGAATGAGGTTTCTGCAAGGACTGTCAGTAGATTATTAACTTATTACTGTGGAGGAAGACCATGCTTGATGTTTGAGTTGAGGTTTGAATTTTTTACTATTCATCGACTCTGATTGTTTTAGAATAGGGTTGTATGGAGCTGATACAGTAAGTAGACAAGAAAAAAATAAATCTTTACTATCATTGATTGTCCTGTTCGTTTTCTAAGGTAATTTTTATCTTACGAAGACATTTCATTAGTTCAGATCAAACAAAGGTAACTTCTCACTTCACTGTGCTTCTGGTTAATATATTATCTTAGTAGTTAAAAGACTGTAAAAGTGAAGACTGCTTTATCCATTGCTTATGCCATTAAAATTAGTCCATATAAGTATAATTTTCTAGGAGGAGTGCATTGTTTCTGCAATTTACTCTTTTATCATTCTAAAAGAAAAATCACCAATAAGTTTTATCTCTTTGACAGATAATCTTGTATATATTTGACAAGTAAGCTGCTCCTTTTCTTTCTAGGTACAATTCCCTCTTTTGTTCAAAATTACATCAATTGTAAAAGAAAAATGAGAAATTACTGTATTTTTTTAAGCTTTCAAATGTAGTCTGTTACAAGAATTAGGAGCACTTGTATTTATTACTGTATCTAAACCAAAGGAGTGCTTATTATTTTCAAACTGTTACTGTTGATGTATTATTAATTCTTATATCTGGTTTAAAAAAAAGTTATTACTTGATTAGATTCTTAACTCCTGTTAAACTCTTCCATGATCGATGTTTTATGTATATCTTTAGCTTAAAAACCCCCAAGTGCTGTGGGCATGGACTTTTCTGATGCACTACTCTTGTGATTGTGAACCTTTAGGTGTTCATATAGCATGATTTTGAGAATGTTTAGTCTCTGATACTAAAAGTACCTAAATMGGTGTTTAATTGTTTGCTTTTTATCTCTGACCAGAAGCTATATAGTTGAAGTAGGATTAGTAGTAATACTTGASTTAATTGTGTGTTTTCTTGGGGTGTGTGTGTTGTTTTGGGGCTTTTTTCTTCCAACAGAAACATGTTATATAACTACAGGGGCATAGGACCCTGTGGTTGGCTTAGGTATTCTGTGTGTAATTAGCTCCTCAAGGGAAATCAAATGTTTTTTAATTGAAAAAGTGCCAAGTTTTGTTAGAATAATGTTTAGGATAATTAATATTTTAAGCATTGCAAACTSAGTGAATAGGGAAGAAAGCAGAAAAATGAAATGTTTTTTTGCAAGGTTTTCTCTGCCCTCGTTGTCATTGCGAGTGTGCTGTTGCTTCTACTTGGTTGCAGTTAATTCAGTGACTTTGAGCCTTGACTGCACAGTGCCCTCTGATCTGCTGGAAGTTTTTCCTTTCCTGTCTAAGATCAAACAGCCTGCTCCCTGCTCCTTGCTGCAATTTCTTTACTGGGTCGCAGGCTCCTGTAATGGAATTTCTTCACTGTCACACTCCRCAGTTTCTTGCATCTCCTGGACCTGAGCATAGTCAGGGTATCTCCAAGGAGTGCAAATTGTCTCTCTTTCTCTGGCAGGCCATACCTGGCCTGATCAGCTTTGAAAAGCATTAAAATGAAAGTGAAGAAGCAAGCAAGAAAGCCTTCTGTCCTCCTAATACTGTGAAAAAAACCGGAGGGCAGATTGAGGAAGACTCACCATGAGGCAGAACTCAACCCAGAAATCCAACCCAATCCTGGGCTGCGTCTACAGCAGYGGGGCAAAGGAGGGGATCCTGCTCCTCCACTCTGCTCTTGTGAGATYCCACCTGGRCTGCAACAGTTCTSTTGTCACCAGCATCAGAAGATTTTGTTATGAAAGATTAACTATGTTTTTAGGTTAAGAAGTTACGATTAGAGCCTGTGTTTCTTTGGGAAATAGCAGGATTTTTTTTTGAAATTATTGTAAGTTGTATTCTTTTATTGTGAAATACTTTTAAAGAGCTGTTCAACTTATTTGTGGAGTCTCTCCCATGGTTATTCAGTCTCCAGGTTTGTGGAGTTTCTCCCATGATTATTCTAGTGACTTTTAATATTTTGATTGAAAGAAAATTCTTTCCAAGGTTTCCTTAACATATTCATAATTTTTATAAATGATGAAAAGATATAAATGATAAAAGATATGAAATAACATACATGAATACTCATCTATTAATGTTATTAAAATGAAAGTTAAGTATTCTGTCTTTGATTTGATTTGATTTTTTTTTTTCCATTTCCAAGTTTTTCCTGGTATTTTGAACAGGGAGTAATGCTTAGAGATGGGGAAACAATTAGTAGACAAAACTGCTAAATGACTGAACTGCTTTAATTGATTATGCAGATTTATATCTTGCATTCAAAATGTGTAACATCTTTCAGCTGGAAATTTGATGGTATCTGTAAATATTAATGGATCGACTTCAAACATAATTTTGAAGTTGGCAAATATTAACAAGGGAAATTGGGGCCTGGTGAAACTGACTAGTAAAATTTACTCATTAAATCAATACAGAACCTAAAATATTCTTTGATTTMATTCATTGGTTGCTAGATCACATTGTATCTAATCTAGATACAATGAAAGATGGTAGTTAAAAATATTCTGATGGAGTGATTGATCTTTCTGGATAACCCATGATTAGCTAAATAACAAGTAGAAAATGTGGTATTTTAAAGTAAAACATTAGGTTGTTTCTCACTGTTATGACAAAGAGTAAATCAGAAGGAAATTGTTCGTACAGAATGTGAAATTAAAGGGTCTTTATTTTTTTATTTCAAACAGCTATTAATTTCACTGACTGCTGGAATAGTGGAATTATGTGTTAACCTYCAACCTCCATGATGCAGTTGTATTTACATCCCACTGTCACAGAGAGGGTAAGTTGTTCATATATGTTACAAAGTTAGGATTTTTTAAAATGTACTGCTATTCATGTGAAAGACAAAATAGCTAGTGCATTTGCATGTTATGCATTTTATAATAATTTTTTCTACCCACTAAAAGCTGTAAAAGCTCTTTGATTTTGAGGAATCACAACATAGCTGGCTTTGGAAAGTTTCTTTGGGCATCTTCTTAGTTCTTAGTCCAAGGCCACTGATGAAAGTAGGGTCGACTGGAGTGCATTGCTCTGCTCTGCAGTCTTCAGGGATGGACACTTCACTAACACTTTTTGCTGCTCTTTCAKCAATATGGCCATGTGATGTACTAAATACAAAGAATTTAGGCCAATGTAACGTGTTGTGTAAAATAAGCTATCATGGGAACTTTTAATAATTATCTATTTAATAACAAAAAACAAATAACTTRCAATTGTCTTGCAGTTTCATTTTTCTAGATATTTTGAATCAGTCTTTTCTGTCCTACTTTCTACTTTCTCAAAAATTTTGAATCAAACGTTTTTATTTGTTATAGCCACCTTTTTTTTTTTGAGCAATCATTTCCATTAACATTGGGTTGATTGATGTGAAACTTCCGAAGGATTTTGGTTCTGAGGATTTTTTTTTTGTTTGTTTTGTTTTTTTGTTGTTTTTTTTTTTCCTAATGGTGAATATTTAGACTTGCACAGAATAAAAATCCAGAAATTACCTAGGTAATTACCTAGGTAATTTCTACCATTTTAAACAGCAAGGAGATAATGTAGCAGAATATAGTAAAATAGAAAGTAATATTAGAAGTTCTTCTGGGGTGAAAGAATTAAGACCTTGGTCAGTGGTACAAAGATTATGATTCTTGATAACAACTCAGGTATTTGTGGTAGTTAGGGATCACTAATGGAGGAGGAAGCTCACAGGAAATAATTGCATAACTTAATTACTTCCTGCATGATTCTGATTGAACTTGGGGTTGCAAGGGAAATTGTTCTTAACTGTTCTTTCAGCTTCAGTTTTTGTGCTACACTCCACCTTAAGAAGTTGAAAAAGTAGTAGCCACCTTGGTGATTTCTGTTGTGTCTTCACTGGTCATCAGTCATTTTGGGGAATTTATTRCTGCTACTTGGGTTGCAGATACTGCAACTCCTGAGCTGTTGATCAGCTGTCTGTATCTGATGTGTGCTCATCCTGTTGACTTTATTTTGGTTGCATCAATAACTGTTGACATCCTAAAAGAATAAATTTGGCACAAGGTCACTAACTGGTCTTTTGAATATTTGTCTATTCATTCCTCTGTTTTCCATTCCAAAGGTGTTTTCATTTCGAAACAAAGTTGTTTTCAGGCAYAAAATGCTATGCAGTTAAATTGAAAATAGTCTCTGTGTTGCTCAGCTGAGCATTTTACCTCAAATACACACTGTAAGCTCAAAACTAATTCCAGAATCTTCATCTACATTCCYTTAATTTGAGTGTTTTGTCTGTATTATAGTATGTATTCTGCTAAAGCTTCTGAATGAATCTTAAAATGACTTTTCTCAAGTTGATAATCTTGCTTTTAGACTTTAGGTTTTAATTCTTCAAGTCCTAGTAATTTACCGCTAATCTCTGTAAGTCTGAAAAGTCATCAAGCTTCCACACTCCGTGACAGAACCTCTTAAGCAAAATTTCAGGAAGGATAAATCACACTGTGTCTTTCTCTGAAGCTTGTTCTGGTTGGTTATCATTTTGTTTTCTAACCAAGTGSAATGAGGGACCTGTAGCTTTCACACAGTTAAGGAAATTCCTCAGTACCATCTCTTCCTGCCAGCTAGGTTTCTGTGATAAAGATACAAAATTACAGTATTTGAAGGCTTAAACATTGAATTAATTTCCACAATGAAATTGAAAATGGTGGTGAATTCTGTTAAGAAAATGTTTAATTTGAGAATAATCTGCAAATTATATCCAATGAGTAGACTGTATTTATTAATGTAAAATTATAAGGAAGTATATGAAGACAATGTCCTGCAAATTGCCCAGAGCAATCTGTACAGATATCAAATTAGACTTATACAGAAAGAAACAGTAGTAAAGAGAGAGTTGTGGATGTAGGAGTAAATAGTAAGCAAATCTAATGCTTATGTTTACTTATGGCTTGAGATACAGTGAATAGAAGAAAAAAGAAATAAATTTCTGCAATAATTAAGTATATATATGGTGCACTACAAAGTTTATGTCCTTCTTCCAGAAAAAAGAGGAAGTGGATAGTTTTTATGGATTAAAAAAATGTAAGTACAACAGTCAGCTTGACTAGGAAACKAAATGAACGAAATTTTGGATACTTTTAGAACACAAACATTGATACATGCTCTGTGAATGGGTTTCTGTTCGTTGGTTGAAGAAAATAATAGATATAATTTATATGTTAATAAAGGTAATTAAAAAGTTATAGATGAATGAAATGCTTTCCAAATTGTTTCCAGTCAGTATTCTAAAAACGTTTGCAACTAAATGGGATAAAGTCTCTTGGGATTGATGYGTATGAATGCTAGAATCAGAAATAATTACCAGTCCTGGCTTGRTCACAATAGAGTGCAAAACATGAAGACAAATTTCAAAGAAATTAGARTTAACAAAGTAGAGGTAGATTAAAAATGGAAAATTAGATAACTGCAACACAGATTTGTTTTCAAAGATTGTTTGATCTGTATTCTTCTGGGTTTACTTACTAAGTGTTTCAATGAGGTAAATTTCCCAATGAAACATAGTTTGGGAGAGACTGTGTATATATTCCTTTCAGCATTTCTTGACACATAGTTCTATATTAAATGAGAAGTAATGTGGATGAAAAGTGGAATCATTTGTTGGAAAAGGAAGTAGCTGAAGGGATGAAGTGACAGGGACTTGAGCTGCAAGGGAGAGTATTAGCCTGGAGGAGAGACCCTATTAGTGCAGTGGATTACATGTGTTACTCATCTTGGATGTTTTCAATAGTGACAATGTCACAGAAATACATAGTTTATAATGAAATTTAGGTCACAAAATGGAAGAGTGTTCTGATGGGGTCAGAAAAATGTAYGAGAGTTTCTTGGGATACTGGAGTAGATACAAATAAAATGGGATGAAGTGTAATAACACAAAGTTAAAAGGATGAAAAAAAAGAATTTATGTATATTAAGATAAGGGCTTATACATTTAAACAGAGATAGCTGCAGAAAGATTTGAATGAATGATGTCCTTGTAAAATAGGTKCTGACTGCTGGAGTAATGTGGCCATGAAAAAGGAACACAGTTGGCATGTCCAAGGGAGAATGGCAAATATGTTTCATGGGAGACACCAGCAACACCTTGTGTAACATACAGAATTCTGATTCAATTACTTTAAATCTTCATAAAGAATGCATTGCATACACTGTGAATAATATTTGTAAGGTTTGCTTATTTTTATCAAACACTACAGAGGCATTTACTTGTTACTTTTGTCCTTTGATCCTTAGTTTTACTTTAATATCCTAAAAGGATTATTTCCTTAGGCTCTAATCCTTTGTCAGAGGCTGTGCCATCACATCATTGTTAAGCAGGAACTGGAATCAAAAAGTTGTTTATAATTATCATTTTTATGAGAGCACAACAGGCTAACATTACTTAGAGTAGAATGCTTTCCTAAGAAGATAATTTTTGTTAGGAAATCATAGAATTATTTACTTATTCAAATTTGCTTTTAAGGGAAGCTAACAATGCCATGAGGGTTCAATCTAAGTTATGTGTATGGTGTGACTTGCTTTTTGAGTGTTTCACATTTAGTGATAAGTCATTGTGATAGCTCTTAGAGTGGAATGAATTTCATGTTTCATACGTTGTACAATTGTAGGTGTGTACATGCCTTAGATACAATGCTGTATATGTTACCTATAGTGATGTGTGAGCTTTACTTCRTGAGTAATTTTCTTCTTTTCAACTTACATAAGGTACGCTTTTTTTGAGTGAATCTAGGCTAGTAGGTGGTTGAGCCAAAAGTAGACTTGCTTAGTTTGCTTTGAATTTAATCTAAAATAACTTGAAACTGTACATTGCCAGGGAAAATCATAATGCTATTCTGGGGCCATAATTCTGTAGGAAGCAAAAATACACACTGCATCACTGAATTTGCTCTTGAAAGCGTGTTTGAAATAGTACATTAAAAAGGACCTTATTTAAGTTATGGAAGATGTCCTTCCACTTGAACTTACCTAGTATTGGTTTCTAATTCTTAAGTCTCTTTAAAGCTTTAAAATAAGTAGAAGGCTTTATGGGAGCAAGATGATGAAAGGTAGGTTTTTGTGTTTTTTTGATTAATCTTGTTTGCTATAGCAAAMTAACTTTGACATGGATTCACATTGTTTCTCATTAAGATATTGGTGCTACACTTCGGTCTCTTTTTTKAGTTACCATTTGAATCAAGCCTTTTTACTGTTTCATTTAGGTGGTTTTTATTTAGTCATGCAGTGCATTCCATTGCGTTAAAGTAATGTTTTTTAACCAAATTTTTGCTGTTAATGTGGTAACAAAACTTTTCATATTCTTACAATCACTTGTGGCTTACACATGTAGCATGTACAATTTGATTTCCCAATTAAGGTTTGAAGCAGACCCTTATTTTTCTGTAAGTATTCTGTCTCCTCTTAGTGGAGTCTAAAGTTTGTGGCACTGACCACATTTTCTGTGTTATGCACTTACAATAAATAATTGTTAACTTGCGTTCTTTTCTCACAATGTTATTTTTCATTCAACTAATACATTGAAGATTACATAYTCCTCATGATTTATGGTAGCCAGTACTTAACGGGCCTATTTTGTTTCATTAGATAATGCTGCATATTTTGTAGTGACTTTTTGTAATAGAGCTACAAGATTAAATTAAACCTAAAAAATAGGTGATTTTATTTGATAGTTTCAACTCAGAATTTGCTTTTAATGTTGCTTTGTTCTTATTCTATAGAGGCTGTTTTCCTGATATTGGTTTGTTGTCTTTTGTAGCTGAAATAACAAATCAATTTGTAAGGAGTGATAGAGAACTCCTACATTTAAAACCAAAAAGCCTTCATTTTAATAAACATCAATGTGCTATTTATTTCTCATTATGTTGAGAAAATGTTATTGTTATCTGTAGTTTCTTCATGTTGTCTCTCATGGAACCAGGAGATCATTTAAASTTATATATGGAAGATTTTGCTCTGTTTGTCATACCAAACTGCTTTATTTTGTGGGAGCTAAAAGTTGTGTCTTTACAACATTAGGAATGACTGAAGGTTACCAATTTCACTCTGGCRTCTGCAGCCCCACACTGATACTGGCATTAAAAATGGTTTTGATTTATTGTACTGATGTAAGCTGCTTCTTGTAYTGAGCTTTGTCTTTCCATCCACACCCAGCACCTGTGACTGGGATTTCTGTGGCTGGTAGCTGGGCTCTTACAAATGGGAGATAATTTATCTGAGGGATTGGGTTCAAAAACCCTTTTAACTGTGTGTAGTGATGAAATTTGAAAGGAAAATTAACTTGAAAGATTTCTCTAGAGCTGTTGATGAGACCAGAGGCGTACATTCTCTTTTCACCCTGTATATCCAGGCTCAGCCTTTTGAAAGGGATAAGAGATAATTTTTTACATTATTTTAGAGGATAACATTATAAGAATGTAGTCAACCATTCTCAGGATACCCTAGAAAAGAAATAAGAACTAATCTAAAATTGAAGGAAAAAAAATYAGCTAATTGCCAGTATACTATGTTTTGATGTGCTTATGCACTGGAAAATGCAAGGRTGTGGGTAAATCCCATCAAATGTGAGACAAAAAATCATGGGAAATCTCAGGGGATAACTAGTAAATTGAAATACGTGGCTTCCTCTGGTAAAACAAAAGCAACATAAAAGGATCTTCACCATATAATTACAATATACATTTATAATAACACTAATCACTGCTATTTAGATACTTTTCTGTCTCCTGCTTAAKAAAATTCATTTCCTGGTACTGCTCTGCCCCACCTTTTAGGTTTGGTGGGCTGCTCTTCAGATATTTAGTGTCAGACTGTGTTAATGRCCATGTTTGTTATGATCCATGTCAGGTTTGAATTACTGGGATGCTGCTGCAGGTTTCTTTTTCTAACTTAAGGCTCATTCTTTCAGTGTTGGCAGCCCTGAGTTCAGTTTACAGTAGGAAAACTCACAAACAGCTGTGGGAACTTAAACAAGTATAAATATTGACATTACATCYTGACTTTCTGTCAGGCAGATAGCTGTGGCATACGTCTGCATCCAGAAACCTGACACAAGCTATAAAAATTGAACAGTTTTAAAAATGTGATAATTTTTTTCTGTAATKTCATTTATCTAAAGATCTTGTGTGAACTTTGAAATAACAAATCACAGAATGACAGAATGGTTTGGTTGGAAGGAACGTTAAAGACCATCTAGTTTCAACTCCTTCCATGAGCAGGGCTGCCACCCATTGGATCAGATTGCTCATCCAGCCTGACTTGAACTCTTCCAGGGGTGTTGCATCCAGGAATTCTGGGTGCCCCATCCCTGGAACGCCAAGTACTTTGACAAAATGTGTTCCCAGAACAGTATGAAATGAAAGMATTAATGTGAAAGCCACATTACTGTAGAAAGTTGATAGTTAARTGTTGTTAGAACTCATGTATAATTAGATATACCACATTTGAGATGCAGGCTGTTTTATGTTATTTCAAAATGTTTTTCTTATTTATTCAGCTAGTTTGGCGTCTTTATTTTATATTTAACTCTACTGTGACCTAACTTAGGAAAAGACCAATGACATCTTCAGAGGCTGAGAGAAATCAGGCAAAATCTGTGAGGACTTTGTTGCATTTATCCCAATGCTGAACAGTGTCCAGCTGTACAAAGCCTGCCCTGGGTCCAGAGAGGTTCCTGATCACTCTTTCCACTTAAACTGATTGCCTGTTCTTACTGCAGTTTCCTTCCCTTCTAATGGGGTGGTGGCTTACGTCATGAACTTCCTTGTTCCATGCAGCTCAGGTTTTTTGGAACATTTTGGGGACCTTGTTGAATGCCATTTGAAGATCTGCGTTGACTAAATCAATTATGTAACAATTAGAACCGTTTGCCTGTGTGTTTGTTTACATCTTCAAAAGAACTTTAATAAATTTATGAGGCACAATTTGTCTTTCTAAAAGCGATGTTAGTACTTTTTTACTTTGATTACTTTCATCCTTATGTCTGCAGGTTTATTTCATCTTATTTCTGCCAATTTGCCTGACATGAATATATTTTTTTTCCTGGCCTGTAATTGCAGGGTTCCCTYCTCTACCCCTTACAAATAGTTCAGTTTACTGTTTTAATTTTCCATTCCTTTTCTACAAAGTGGTTATATGTAATAAGTTGCAGACCTCTGTTAATAATTAAACTATTGCATTCTTTAACTTCTTTAGAACTCTTGGAAGAATACCATCTGTTCCTGATGACTTCTTATATGAATATTGTGGATTTTTGATTGTCTGATCTGCTAACACTGTTGTTTGAGACAGACCAACGCTGCCTCTGATAAAGAAGATACCYGCTTTGTGAGTCTGCTTAAGCTTATGTTTTATGAAAAGCAGATTGGAAAAAAAAAAGTCAATATTTTGCTTGCAAAGTGCTCTATAAACAATTGTGTCCCATCTTACTAGTCATAAAGGGATTTTTTTTTTGTCTCTTTAAACACACAAACTACCCTCCTTCTCAAGAAAACTAGAGCAATTTTTTTGCAATTTCAGTGCTGTTGAACACACAAAGTGTTTTCAATGTCASAGTTATTGTCTCTGGAAGTGTGTGCTCCAGGCATATCTCCATAACTGTGGGAGTTTGGAAGTTATTGCAGTTTGGGAAGGTTTTGCTCTAAACTTGRAATGAGTTTGAACAGAATAAAATATCTAAATGAAATTGAAAAGAAGTTMAGGTGAAAGAAGGATGAAACAGAAAAGAATAATTTGGGAGAAGGTAGWTGTGGATAGTCTCTCAGATTTAGAGATCTGAGAATTCAAAATACAGGTAATTTTGGAAATTGAGTAAGAACAGCATATATATGCCCTTTTAAAAAGAAATATTACATTGCTGAGAAAGAGGAAGAGAGGGGAGAAGTGCTTAAGGAAGACTCTGGACATGCTGTCAGTTAAAATCTGCTCTAGACAGAATGAGGAGATTATACCCTCATTGAATGATATTTTGCCAAGTCGAAAATGAGCTGAGATGATTTTGCATTTTTTAAAATGGCATGGTGGGTTTTTTTTTTGTTAGAGAAGTTATTACCTTTGGAGCATTTTTTTTCATTTTTAAAAATAGTTTTAATAATAACTTGTCAAAATGGGTTTGATTGTTTCGAAACAGCAGAAAAGTGTTTCTGAAAACCAGGTTCCTGAAGTCATGCCTGATTTGGAAATACTTGCAAGTTGCAGAATATACTGTYGCAATGGCTATAATTCCTTTGTTAAAGACTGGCAGTCATGATAAAAATGGAGAAGAAAGTGAATAAAAGTGAAAAAGATCAAGATGTGTTTTTAATTAAATGAAAGCTATTTGTTGATAGTAAAGGCAAACGTTACATTTACCACAGAATGACTTTTGAACTGTTTTAATGTCTGAAATGATACATGAATTGGTAAATATTTCTCTTATAAAAAGAAGCATTTCTTCTGGCTATTTCAAACTCTAGATTAATTGCATATTCTTTGTCATTCATTCTGTGGGAAGTTAAAAGCTTTTTTCTTTGTTTCTGTGACAGAAAGTAGTACCATTGTCTATTGTCATTCTTGAATGTTAATGACAGTACATTTAGTTTAATTGCAATCCACTGTATTTTTACATATCAGAATTATAATTTTAGATTTTTAATTTTTTTTCCCACAGAATATAAATGAAGAATGATGCAATATTAATGCTTTCTATGTACAGCMTTACAAGAATCTTCTTTAAGGAGTTGCGGTAAGATAAACACTGAGAATTATTTTTCTCTGGTACAATGTGTTGAAGCAAAGGAACTGGAATTGTCCACGCTTGTACAAGCTAAGAACTTAAAATGTTTGCCATTTTGTGAGCGGAAGCAGTTCTGGAGTGAATTGAACTTCTGAAAATGCGGCCATGGACTGGTTCCTGGCGTTGGATTATGCTCATCCTCTTTGCTTGGGGAACTTTACTCTTTTATATTGGTGGACACCTGGTACGAGACAGCGAGCACCCCGATCACTCCAGTCGTGAATTATCCAAGATCCTCGCTAAACTTGAACGGTTAAAGCAGCAAAATGAAGACTTAAGGCGCATGGCAGAATCTCTCAGGTAGGATCTAAAAGTAATTAAAACTTTGGAAAACGTTTAAGATAGGAAATATCAGAAATTGAATTGTAAGGGTTGTTAGTGTGAGTTTTTGTAAAATTATATTTAACATTTAAAAATATAGACAAGTGTTTTAATCTGTGCTATAAGTAGCTGAAAATATATTGCAATACCTTAAATAAATAATGTACATTTAATTCTGGTCTAACATAATCGTTAAGAGTCATTTRATGGTGTGCAAATGTTACTGTCACAATAACAGAGTTCTGTAGGTGATTCACCCCTCAATGCCAACTTCAAACAAGTGCAATTATTATGACATTCATACAAATTAGAACATCTAGTTCTTCATACTTCTGCATGCAGTAATTGGAAGAGCTCATTTTAAAATTGCTGAAAACATTTGTACAGCTTGTTGAAGATAAATGCTGACTTGCTGAAAAAGATCTGCAATAGATTGCTGTATTATACAAATGCTTTTATCTAAGTTTTCTTCCTTGCCTTGCTGTGAAACTTGCAGAAATACTTGTAAAACAGTAGGATCATCTCCTTTTTTTTACAATTACTAGATTGAAAATGGGTACAATTACAATTTAAAGTGTTTTCTTTCAGATTTTCAGGCAGASAGCTTTTAACACAGACTTACAGTATCTCCTATCATAAGAAACTGAAAGGGAAAGCTGAGAATGTAGGGTATGTGTCAGTGCCAGGTTGGACCTAAGAATGTGGACAGGATCACATCCAACCTAAATGTCTGGGATGGATCATGGGGACAAGAGCAGAGGCTTTGTATGTTGCAAGAAGGTGGAGAAAAGCTCAGTATAAGATTTTACGGAATGGGAGAGTGGTATTTACTTTTCAAATCTCTAAAAGAGCTGAAGTCACTCCCTGTCTCTTTCCCAGCTCTGTGTGCCTGAGCACCATGTGTAGCAGTGGGGTGGCCAGGGAGAGCAAGGGGCACTCAGAGTTCATCACAACTCTTGGTTGGTTCTTGTGTGGCAAGAAGAAACTGATTTTGGACTTGTCTTTTGATATGCTGTAGGAGCAGATTTTGGATCTTCTAYCTTGCTGTTGTGTTCTTATTTCATAGGGAAAATGACAGAATTGMACAAACGTATTTTCTTTACTAGTGTGTTTTGAGGTTCTAGTCCTGTTCTTGTTACCTCAAGTCAGTTTGTTTCCCACCTTCATTTAATGAAATCACACATCGACTCCGTAGCAGTGAAATTAATTACCTTTCCTCTTCTGGTGCATTCTYTCTTTCATGTTTATCCAGGCTGTTGGAATTGCTAGGATGAGCRGATTTCTCTGCCTTACTGCAATCTCTTTTCACTGCACTCTGTTCCTGGTTTCTGGAATTCACTGTRGACATGGCTGCATGGTGATGAAGCTTCTCAGCTTAGAAAAAACGCCTTAGTTTTGAACATGTCAGCTCTGAAGAAGGACCTCAGCATTCATGTACTGCTCCCCAGAGGGGGAGAAATGCTGCTGACCCAAGTGATGTCTGCAGTGAGCATAGATAATCTTCACCTTGAAGGTGGAGCCATGAATGGCTGAGTGGGATATGGTTTTTTAAACTCAATTTATTAACATATTATAACAACAGCATTTGAAAAKATTTTAATGTATGTTGTTAACAAACTAGTGTAATATAGTGTATCCTGTTACAAACAAGCTTAAGCAAGGCTAAATGCAGTATCTTTAACTTTCTGGAATATTAGACAGTATTAGACAATAGTAGTCAACCTTGGGGTTTCTTGCCTCAGAGGTGTAATATTTGGCCTTAAATGTAAAGATTACAACCCTCCATGCTTTCAGCCCCCCATATTTGTCTGACTTGAATAAATGGCATTGTGTTTTATTGCACAGCCATTGAWATATAACTCATTCAAATTATGCAGTGACTAGAAGAGAGTAAATGATTTTACTGATGGCAGGGTACTGTTTTCCTATAAAGAAGGAGGCACTAGAGGCAGGACATGCTAAGTAGAGGCTAAACTATGATTTAGGCAGTGATGATTTTTCCACATACCTTTCTATATTTCACTAACTTTTTCTATATTCAGATAAATGTTAGAGTTTTGGTGGGCAAGCTTTAAATAATAGCTTCTACTGTTGATAWTTTTCCAGGATTTATAAAAATACAGTAATTTATATGTACTCTAATCATGTTAGAATATTTCAACATTCTTTCTCTATGCTTCAGTTAATGGCTTCAAGATGCTGGAATTAGAATAGGTGATGCAAAAACATTGACTGGACTCTGTTCAGCTTCTTTTTTGTAAATATATTGTTTAGCAATATTTCTGGGACCTTCCWCTGAGTGATTGTATATAACCACAGGAGGATAAAAAATTCTTGCACTAGAGGGCCTAAATGACTTTAAATACCAGTTGAACAGCCACACATGTCCAGGTTCAGTGCTCTCCAGGAGTGAGCCTGCTTGAAACTGGAAGATAATCAGGCATCGTTTTCTTCTGGTAATGKGAGTTTGGTGAAGTACTAAACTTTGAGGAAAGGGAGGCATGACAATACAGAGCCTTTTCATTATTTTTACTTGCCAAATCCATGATATTGTTCACATGGAAACATTACAAATAGGTTTTAGAAATATCTTGGTCAACCTGTGTTATTAAAGTATTAAATCATAATGTGGTACAGAATTTCAGTATCTCATTTCTGGGTTTGCCAGATAGAACAAGTTGTGTTGGAAATAGCTGTTAGCTTTAAAATTGTCACATTTATAGTTTTATAGCAGTATGTCTGTTTAAAATGCGGCATTCACCAGCAGTMCTAGATTGATTATCTGTGTCCTAGAAGAGATCACTGCTGCTGTGTGCATACATTATGGAAACAAAACACCTCTGAACTTCAGAAATCCAGTTAGGCAGAAAAGGTTGCTTTTTGCTCCAGTTTACATGTTAAAGATGTAATTTATTTTGGGCTTCACTGACCAAAGACAGAGAGACTAGAACTATTATTTGAATATTATTTAATTACTATTTTTTTTTTTGTTTGTATAGAAAACTCTTAATTGCTGATAGTGGCAGYGAAATCTGAGTGGATAAGACAAGTCTCTCATTAGTGTAGCTCATAAAGGGCATGAGGTAAAAACTTGGTTTTGCTGCCCTTTTCCAGTAAGAGTTTATATCCAGAGAACAAAACAGCACATATTTTGTGGTTAAAACATAAAATATATTATGGTCTGAAACAGGGTTAAGCTAAAGCCTGAAATCAAGCATTTTCTAATTAAGAACTTAAGGTTATTTGTGGAGGAGTTTAAACAAGATGAGAGTGCCTAYCTGTAAAATTGTAAAAATAATCAAACATCTATTACCTATACTAATTAACTTTAACTGTACTAGTTAACTATATAGTTAAAGTATTTTGGGTGGTAAAATGCTCCAAGGTAACAAATTTATCTTAGGATGCAAAGAAATTTTGCGAATAGTAGAAAATTATCATGAGTAGCTGTGCCATTAATAATAGCTAGGTTAGGGCAGGCAGGAAGGGGCAGAAGGCAGATTACAGGAATTAGTAGTTTAGTAAACGTGTAAGTTGTTTTTTCATTTCCATTTTGAAGCTAGAGAAAATTAGTATTTCATCTTCAGTTACATTGCTTGTTAAAATGGTAAAAKGCATTTCAATACATTTCAATTGCCTGGAATTTCCCATTGTAATGGGTTCCCATGACTTCTCTGTGTTCCTCACWGCCTGATAAAAGTGTAAATCTTCTGGGATGGTTGAAAACAGTAGCTGGAGTTTGCTCATTTCCATTCCATCATCTCTCTATGAATGCCAACACAAAATGACAAGAGGTGATCTTTCCACCCCGAGGTTTGAATCCCCCCTTTGCTGCCAATTTATTTAGCAGCTCCTCATCACCAAAGACAGCAACAAAAAAGAAAACCAAAAATGTGCCTTATGAAACATACCTTATGTGCAAGCAAAACCAACCATTAAAAACTTGAAAAAAGGTCATATCTCTGACAAAGCCTTATAGAATCTTGCTTAACCCTTTTTTTCCTTTGTAATACTTAAATAACATCTGATATTGTAATTTTCCCCTGCTTGCTTCTTTTCATACAGGATGTGTAAGGAGCAGAATTAAGGTTTTAGGACATGGGGAGGTATTTTTGGGGTTATTCTGGTATATTTTCCACCTACCCCAGACATCTGTATGTTTGATTTCACAAGATAYGGTATGTTCTTATGAATTAATGATRCATTTTTTWAAGATTTGTAATTTATTACCCATGTTGTTTAAGAACAGTTCAAATATTTTTGTAAGGATTTTTGGTGAGCATMTTTTTAGATACTTATTTTCTAGAAGGTACCTTTGCAACAGTGCAAATTGGAACAGTGACATCTTTTTGAAAATGGCCTGAAATAAAAAAAAATTTCCTTGGAAACTGAGTGCACTTTAGTGGTGCACTTCTGATTACTTGAAATTACATCCGGTACCACACAGTTTTTATGATGTRTTTAAAAAGCTTTAGGTGAGAAGTTACTGTAGTTTTTCTTTTGCCGATATGATTCTTTGTAAAAACCTTGCTTGTGGGCTCTRAAGAGGCACAGATGTATATTAGTGATGCTGAAGATAAATGAAATTAAAAGTGTTTTTTATTGTCTGAATTTTAGAAATTRTTTGCATGAATATTGTGATGTAGTGAGATTTAGAGAGTTACCATTGTCTGGATATGATAATAAAMAATATTGTGTGAGCAAATCTGTGTAGATTTTATAAATAGTCTAGATTTCATTAGTGCAAAATAATAATAAGACTGAGTTTTTAATAGGTTGTTGTTTAGTATTCTATATCCAGTAGAACTGGAAGAGCCCTTTCAAGGATGCTTATTACAGATGTAATACATGTCCCAGCGGAAAGGGAAATYTTTACTACAACTTCGGTGGTTATTTAAGGGAAACCTGATAGGGAGTAATAATCAAATCAAAATATTGCATAATGTTATTTCCTAAACAGCAGTTTTMGGAAGTAGTTTTACCTTAAACCAGTAGTTTTACCTGAAAGTTTTACTCATTATTAGGATTATGATATGACTCCTAAACACTGTCCCTGTTGCATAGAGATGATCTTTTAGGAGGAGGAGAGCTTAAAACTGCAACTTTCGTTATGTCCTATTTTCTTGGATGGAAACTGCAAAGCTGTGTGTTCATCCTTGTCGTAGGCTTTCTGCAATTYTGCCATACATGAATGGCTCATAGTATTCATGGGCTTCTTTGTGTATTACTGGGAGGCAGTACAATTTTTGTATTTGAAGCTATTTTGATGGAAGATAAACCTGGCARTTTAGGAACCAGTAATTTCAGACTTCTCTGCATGGAAATAGAGAATCTTGTTAAATGGATTCATACTGTGTTCATGTTATGAATACATCACATTTGGACTATATTTGCTTCCTAGAGTCTTATTAAATACTGCATTTTGTAGAATCTGTAGTTCTTTTAATAAATATGATAACCCRTTCCTTAGTCTGAATGGGATCTTGTGTTATAAAGCAGAACAGGAGTGGAAAAGGGCAAAATGTCAACAAACAAATTAAACCCAGCACCTATACATTATTCTTATAGCTCTGAGTGTAGCTTGAGAAAGAAAGATCAGATTTTAATTTTGGAAGAGCACTAGAATTGCTTTAATGTAGCTGGTGATGGGGCTGGTAGAGAATCCAAACTCAAGATCGATTAATCATAAGCAACTCTATTMAAATACTTCTGTCATTAGCTCTGGGCTGCTGTTGGGCCCATTGAACCTGTAGAAAGCATTGAAAGGGRCTTGGAAAGGAGAATAGCTTTGGGTTGATAAAAATTTAAATATTATTTTAAAGTACAGTTTTTGATTCCATGTGTTAAAAATATCTGAAGTTTKAAGCTGAAGGTATTGCACAGGCCAGTGTGTAAAGGACGATGATAATTGAACTAAATGGTGGCATCTCTGGTCTTTTTACTTTTTTTGTGCAACTCTGAGTTAAGGGAAGGGACACATCTGCTGTGAATATAAATCAGCACTGATCAGGCCTGTGCTGATCTAAACTGATAAGGGATGATTGCTCTTTATTTGCAGATAACATTGACTGTTTTCTTTCAATTTTATTTACTGAGGAGGYTTTATCGAAGAAGGACGAAGCAACAGCCTGTGTTCCTTTTGTTTGTGTTTGCTAGTGGTCATTAATAATTGAACATGGTTTTCTTCTAGGGGRAGAGAAGAAAGTGAAAGAAGAAAAGGCAATCATAATGTGGCTTTAGCTAGTTATAAACCTTCTAGCTCCACACAGAGAACTTGGATATAAATGAAAGAATGGGAAAATATTTGAGTGTGAACTTGTGAAATCTTACGTTTTTCCTTTTGGTGATAAATTAGTGTAACCTTTTAAATGTCTTGGAAATAGGAAAAGGTTAGAATGGTTTTTATAATTTATGGGTTTTTWAAAATTATTTTTACAATTATTTTACACAGTATGGCAGTTCTTCTGGCTAAATTGAATGTCACTATGATTAATTTTTAAGGGGCTCTTTTTGCCTTCGGAGATCCAGACTAGAGATCATTGCTTTGTCATTGCCTGTCTGTCCCCTGAAGGTGATGAGAAAGTGGCCTCAGTCATATGGGTTATATACACAGAATTTTTTTTTTTAGCTGGATTACTAACAAGGGACAAAGCAGAAACAGGCTGCCTCTACAACATAATMTTTTTGATGTTTAAAGTTGTACATTAATATCTTTATTTGAAGAGTTGATTATGGAAATGATMATTTATATTTGCTATCAAATGGTAGGAAGCAGCATGCAAACATCAAACCATGTAACTACTGAGAATTGAAATAAACCCACTGCTTGGTTTATTAGCTTGACTTACTGTTTAAGTGGATAATTGTATTAACAACTTAATTTACAGTTTTACCATAGCAGTAAGTGAATGATACTCTGCACTAGATGCTTACTGACTTGTTTTTTATTATTGATTAGAATCATCATAGTTTAGATGAGCTTACTTCAAACCCWCTTCTCATATTTTGAGTTGTTGTCAGGACTTGCTTTGGTAGTAATTATTTTGGTAAGAAGTCGCATTTTCCAACAGGAATTCTTATTCATAAGKATGCATAATTACTAGCATATTCTGCACTAGAAGTTACTCGCATATAGGATGCCATGAGAGTAGATRAGGATTTTAATTCAAATGTTTTCCCTCAAATACTGTCTTATCTCCAACTCAGTCGAAGTACTTGTAGAGAGCAAAAACAGCCACGCTGTACTGGTTGCAGAGAAGAATCTTKTCCTTAATTTTGGGGCTCAGTGAAAGTGAGGAAGACAGCAATTCCAAGTCTGATGAGGTAACAGATGTAGAGACAAAACKGAAAAAAGAATAACCTATCTTAGTTTCATCCTAAAAAGATGTAATTWTTGAAAGTCCAAACAACTAGCTTAGATTGAGAATGTCCCCCAATCCCTGCTCTTTTATCTAACTGTCTAAGTATAATAAAAATTTCTATTGCAGTGTGCCAAAGCAAGGTGAATATTTAATGGCATGTAGTTTTATTTTTAAGATCTTGTTATATCCCATGATCAACATTACAGTGCTTCTTTCATATCATCCACAACCATCCTTCTGTAGGRTTCTCTAATTGCTACTTTAACAGACTTTCCTTATGTTAAGAGGATATGTGCACTTGCTCAAGATTTCTTGAGGAGTAAGATTTTGAATCATTTTACTATCATCCTTCACAGATTCTACCTTTAGGGTATGTGACTTTTACAGGATGAACCATTCCTTTTTTTCTGGTAATTTTKTGTTTACTTGTTCCTTCACAATTCAGATTGTGGTACCGAGTCAGTAGATCACAAACACATTTTCATCTGGTGGTTTTAAATTAGTGTAAGAACTTAAATGTCTTTCAAAGTACTTTTTAAAGGTTTGTTTGTATTTTCTTGTACATAGCAATACACTACTGTATCTCTGTATGATATAACCCTGTACATTTGTTGTGGAAACAAATTTACAAATGCTTTGTTGAAACAGTATATTTAGAGAGTGCACATGTTTAAGATTAGGATATTTTACACAGTTTTGACGTTCTTGTTCCATCAGTGCATGAAAAAGCAGATGTGCAAGAAGTTAATGATAATTCATTTTTATTTACCGTGGTAGTTTTTAAAACACAAATATTTTTTCAATAATTTAATTATCCCTAATAGGGTAGGGATAGGATAGCTTTCAATAGGAGGCTTTAAGACTGCAGAAATTTTTACTCGGTTTCTGTAGCTTCCTCTTCCACATCTCCTACCCCCTTCTAAAAAAGGGTGCTTAAATGCTGTGCTTCGTATGACACACCCTTCTGATGCTCACATTAGATATTTGTTCCCTTCAGCTGTTCCAGTGAAAATGAACTTTCCATCAGTCCCTGAAATTTTATTGGCTATTTGTTATCCAGACCTGAGAGACATTAAAGTTAATAACATCTCAGTAGGATATTTAGAATGCTGTCATTTCTCTTTTACAGGGAAGATGCTAGAGGTATCTTTTCTTCTGGCAAGGTCTCTTCTTGTGTATGGTGCTGTGAAACTCTGTGTTTATGTGTGGAGAGAATATCTGCTTCTTTTTATGCTCATATTCCTTTATGAATGGAGAATTGTCTTCATATTCTGCAAGAATTCTGTATTTGCAGTTCTCAAGTCTTCTCATTGCACATTTTCTTCCTCTTTCTTTTTAGAGTCAGCTCTYGCAAATGCTTTTAAAAGGTGGAATAATTTTTAACCAGAAGCGTCACTTCTCTTGAAATTAAAAGGGTTTTTATTTTCCCTGCATTGAATTTGTGCGACAAATAGAAGTTAGCATCTAATTAATAAACTTTAATAATTTTGGTTTATTAATAAGTGGATTCAAGTTCAGATGATGAACAAACCTCAGTAATACCCTCAGGGCTGATTTATGGCTCATAGATTTCAGGATACGTATTTTAATACTTCTCCTGTGCTCACATATCAGAAATTTCACAAATGGATGTTACAGTTGCTGGTGTTGTTTTAGGTGATCTACAGYTGGGAATACTAGAGTTGTCATAAAAAATCGTGGTGATGGTACATTTAAAAARGTTGGATCATAGAGTGTGAGTCCAGGCAATATATTGAAATCATCCTGTGTAAACATGTAGGAAAACTTAACCTAAAGCTGGAATTCAAGTGCTGGAGCCCTGGTGCTCTGAGAATGTGTGGCCAAGGTTCAAGAGCAGAATGTCCTTCATGTGTGATTATAGGACRTAGTCAGACCTTGGGTCTGGTGAAGGTACATGTGTTGAATAGGTTTTGTTTGTGTGCCCCTCAAGTCARCAGTTAAACTTCCACAGACACTATTTTCACAAGCAGAGCCTTGGATTGTTCTTGTCACTGRGTGGAAGTCTTGTAAAGAGCACAGTTTAGGATCAGGTTGAGCCATGTGTTTTGTCTGTGTTGTGCACTGTTTTTCTCCTGTGGGACTGTGCTTTTAGAATATTGTTTATGTTGGCATGTTTAATTTCTTCTGGTTTGAAGAAAATCTGATGAAGGTTTATCAGTAAAACGGTATGAAATAAAATGAGAGGAGAGCTGAATTGTTTGTTAATGCAAATAGTTTATCAAATAATTACATTTATAAACCATACAATTCMTTTTTTYCTATATCCTAGGATACCAGAYGGTCCCGTTGATCAGGGACCAGCTGCAGGAAAGGTACATGCTTTAGAGGAGCAACTTCTAAAGGCCAAAGAACAGATAGAAAACTATMAGAAGCGGACAGGAGATGGTTGGTAGATACGTTTTTTTTTTACTTCTAAAACTAGTTTCAGTGTGTTGGTATTTCATATCACAAATGTATTGGCTTCTTAACAAGTAAGTCAGCTACAAGTACTGATGCTTTTATGTTTTTTTTTTTTTTTTKTTAAATAGAAGGCCTTGGGAAAGACCATGAAATACTGAGGAGGAGGATTGAAAATGGGGCTAAGGAACTTTGGTTTTTCCTCCAGAGTGAACTGAAGAAATTGAAAAGTCTAGAAGGAAGTGAACTGCAAACACGCATCGATGAATTTCTGTCTGATTTGGGTCATCAGGAAAGGTACTTGCATTAGTTGATTCTGACCTTCTATTTTAAACTGTCATTATGTTGTTCAGACATATGTTGCAATTACATTTTTAGTTGTCAGTCATCAGGCSTCCTTATTGTTGGAGTATCTTTTGTATGATATTAAAATGTTCTGTATGAGTTTTGTTCATGCTGAACAAAATTTATCCAGGAACTGTTAAAAATTCAGTGAAATCTGTCTTTAAGTATATTATATTTATTACTCTGTTCCCAACAGGATTGCAGGAGCAGGTTGTGTCTCACTAAACAGTTACATGAAAATAGTTAAATTAACTAAGTATACCACCTTAAACAAGTATCGGTGTCCCAAAAAAGCTRTGGACTCTATATATGAACATCAGTAATAAAGCAAGAGCCTTTGAAAATAATACTATAGTAAAGGGGAAAAAATCTTAAGACTTTTCAATTCTTTAGAAATAATGTAAACACTATTTAAAACATAGTTTAAAGAAAATACAAATTTGATTATTAATGTAGGCAAATAGCATAGTCCATTAAATTTTGTAATTTAATATTCCACAATTCCAAAATCCATTTTGTCACAGATTGACTGAGTTGAAAGTGAGAAGGGACTATTCAATTATCGAGAGTTATTTATATAAAATACATGATTAAATTTCATCCAATTAGTTCTCTGCCAAGTGCAGTTTTATATGTTTGACTGAAATAAAAGTAGTGCTTGGCTGAAGCAGAATTTTCCAAATACTTGAGATCTTCAGTTGGGCAGTGAACTGGTGCATTTACAAAGTTGCCTTCAAGCAATAAAATTATCTTGTGTTGCAGAACATGCTTCTAGGTTGCCTTTAGTCCTGAGGAAGTTTTTTCCTGCACCTGTGAGGTCGAGCTGTTTGCTTCTTTCCCTGTAATTTTTCAGTCTTGCTGTGTGAATTGCAGGAAAGCTCCCAGCTCCCCATGTGCACATCCTTTGACGTGATKCACGGCCGTCTCTGGGGTGTTCTTGTCCCTTACAATGCGCGGGAGCTCCMCAGGGAATGAGCGGTCTCATCTTCMCTCCACTCAGTCCATCTGCTCACTTCTCCTGGAAGGAGCACAGCATCAACTTGGAATGAACAAATCAGATGTTCTCATTCACTCATGAGAAGCACAGGTTTTTGGTGGTTTACTGTTTGGTTTTTTTTTTTGTTTTGTTTTGTTTTTTTTTTGTTGTTGTTTTTTTATTTAAATGCCTGTTTTGTTTTCTTGTTTTGGTTTCTTCAAGTACACGTGCACTTTAGGTTTTTGAAAGGGATTAAACATGTTGCCAAATGCCCTTTTGTTGACAGTGCTGCCTTAAAAAGTTACATTTTAGATAAATAGAACACTGCAAGTGCMGCTGGTATTACTTATTTTTTTGTATACATACACACATAAATATACATAAGGATATCTCAGAAATTTTAATATATCTCTAATATATAATATTTGGATTAGAAAGATTAGTGTTAATTAAAGTACTTAAAGGAGTTTTTCATGCTGACCTTGTGTGGGAAAGCAAATAAAGAGGTGGGTAGTGATTAAATGATCAGATAGCTATGTAAAGAAAAAGGCTAAATACTTATTTCTTTCATTTGTGAGGAAAGCCTGCTGTGTCATAGATTGAGAGTTGCTTTTTAAGAGATTAAAAATTTAGGCAGTTTCTGTRGTTCTGGACAAGTTGTATTGGTGCTCTTTGTTAACCTTGGTGCTGTTAAGCAAATGGTTTACTACTCATGTGATAGTGCTTCTTGTTGGATGCCTTAATCACTGTTTGTTGGCTGTGTCCTAGGAGCTGTGTAGATTTTCTCCGGGAGAGTGTCAGTTTTACAGATGTTTTTGTCAAGTATTTCACTGCTGATTCTGTTGAGAAACAAGGTTGCCCAACACAGAATTTCCTTGAGAATTATGTAATTGTATTCTTGTAGTTGCTATAGGAAAGAGGCCTGTTGAGAGTAAATTCATCTAAACATTGCAAAGACTATTTGATATTGAGTTATTAAAAAAGAGCAAATTAATCCTCTAGTTGTCATGGTTGTTTCCTGTGTTGACAAAAGTTGTTTTTAAGGTGGCTGTTACCGAGTTAGTTTATTCATTTTCCTGGGGAACAGCTGTCATCAGGGATTTTGTAGTAACAGGCCAACATTTGATGCATAGTGTTTGGACAAATTTTCACATTATTCCCTTTGAATAACTTTTTTTTTTTTTTTGAGTTTTTTTGGTTGATGTAAAACTTTTCAGTTTAAATGTAATTTTGTCATATGACTGGAATAAATGTCTAGACCGATCGTTGAAAACATCCACCCTTCCCTCTTTATTTTGGCAATCAGAATGTAATAACAACACATGAAATACATAACCAGATTTTTTCTTCCATTCTGCTTTCCAGGAGCAGAATGCTTTTAAGTGCAGCTCCAAGATTTATTTTATRATATAAAATATCAGCAGCAACAAATTGATATTGTTGGTTGGTAACGCAGTGAAAGACCAAGTTTGACTCGGTCCGCAGTGCCACTGTCTGAAGTTTCCTGCCATTTTACCACCTGCAAAAGCCTCTAATAATCCTGTGCAGGCTCATCCTTTGTCTGCACTTAGCTATCTTGGGCTCATGGATCAGTGCTCGTGCGCTTTTAGCTCTCTACATGGAGCCTGACCCTGGTCTTTGGTATTTGTGTCTCTTCTAAATCTGCATTAGTAAGTCATCACRGTGATCTGTCACACTACAGAAATCCCAGCAGATATAAAGCTAAAAAATGCACGTTTCTGAGAAGTAACAATCAAAGAAAGAAGATCTCTGTGACTGTGTCTTAAAATAGTGCTACCTTATAATAATTTCTGTGTGATAACACCTATGAATTTTTCCCTTCCTGATTTACTTCAGAGTTGTAATTTTTTTTTTTTTTTTTTTTTTAAGAAGATTGTGGATACTGTCTGAAAACTCTTTCATGAATTCATAACCTTTCCTGCAAATCATTTGATACTCTCTATGGCTTCTACTGAGCAATGCTGCCTTTACCAACCTGTTGAGTCATTGAGGCTGTGTGAGGACACTGCCACCAGTTCCCCTACCTCAGAAATTGTGGAAAACAGTTATATTTCATCCATAAGGCTGATTGTTAAAACTAACCTACTGCCTTTTCTTTGTCATGGTCACCATGGCCAATAATATAAAAAATAAAACTTGGGCAACACTGTTTTTCCTGTAGAAGTAGGAAAAGTTACCTAAGACCTGAGAGAGAAAATGCTGGGTTTTGTTTTTTGGTATTATTTTTTGGRGGGAGGGGGGTTTGTTTGGGATTTTTTGTTTCAGTTGGTAAACCTTATATTTTCAATTATATTTGTCAATATTTAAAGAAATATATTTCTATAAAGTATAAGGAGATTACTGTTTACTTACATCCCAAGTACAGAACTGTCTTTTTTAAGGCTAGTGAAAGAGCTTTTAAAATGGTTTAAAATGTGGCTGTGTGGTTGCACAGCTGCTTTTATTGATAGAGAATTTTTCTTCTTTTTTAATGTTTAAACATTAACTTTTTATTTTTTTCTTTAAATACCCAAGATGGTTACATCCTGATTAGGTCATCATTAGAAAATATATTTAAAATCCCAAGAAAATGTATGGATTTCTTAATTTATTATATCTACTAGCTGAAATGCTTTCTATAAATAGGAAAACTGTCTTAAGAGGAGCAAACTATTTGTTCAGTTATCTGTATTTATCCCATTGTACTAAAACTGCTCCATCATTAGTTCTAATTCTCTTTAAACTGTGTTTGCATGTTATTTTGTGTATTATGTGTCCTTAATATTTACTGATTTAAAACTAGTTACCCGATGATGCTTTAAATTAATTTTAATGCAAAGTTGGAATAGGGTGTTTCAAGCTCAATTACCTTGTRAAGGAAAATCGAGTTTATATTGTTTGAGATTAGAATGTAGATAAGATTCTTCTAGTTGATTGACASAAGGTGAGGATTACTGCTGTTGAATAATTTGGGTGAAATATTTAATACAACAATAGTAGCTGCTATAGTCAGTGTCTCTGTTACCCTGTGTAGAAGCGTGGGAATAAAGACAGAATGAGTGCATGAGATTTGAAAACTGCAGATCCATAAATCCAGTTATTAAATTAGCAAGAGAAGCTTGTCTGATAACTCTGCTGATAGAGAGGCCTGCTCTAATTTGATTTATCTCAATGTTTACTGCTTAAATACTGTGTCACTGGAAATAGTTACCCAGTAGGGATATGCAGCCTGCTCCTCTCTCACATAAGAAGGATAGCCTAGGCTAACTGGGTTTATGCTTCCACTGCTCACTTGTGCTGCCAACAGCGTGACAAGACCTCTTCAAATGTTGGTAGGAAATATATTTGTCTTACCCTCGCGCTGTTTTTCAGTCCCCATCCAAATTTCTCTGCCTTTGTTCTGGTGCAACTCTTTCTGTGAAGAATTTCAGGCAATAAATTGTAGCATCTGAAGTTCAGATCAAAGCATTAAGTAGTTTAAGCGTAGAACTTTAGCATTGTTATGGAGAAATGGTTAGCAATATACAATATTCCCAGTGTATGAAAGCAGCTCTGAAATTATTGGTTCTGAATTGGGCTACCTTTTACTTTTAGAAAATTCACTAACATTCTACAAACACTTTGAATAGTTTGCCTCTAGTTTTGTATTTCCTCCCAAAAGCCACGATGGTTAAAATAAAAATATTTTCCAAGGTGGTACTCTTTGGATAAAATCAGTAATTTTGGTTAATCCGGCAAATTTTTAACAAATAAATGTCATAATATTTTTCTTCTCATGATGATGAGTTCCTTATCTTGTTTGGCCAACGAAATGTTACAATGGTAAGAAGAGAATCTCTAGTGTATTAGATAACCTCAATTTAGTATTTGATAGTTCCTCAAAATTAATGTTTTGGAGTATGGACTTGTATTTCTCTGAGTCTGTATTTTTAATTGCTGATGGGTATAGAGCATTTGTTAGGTGCAGGACACAGTCAGTCTGTCTTGGCTGCTCTTTGAATTGTCCAGTAGGAGGTGGCATGAAGAAACTGTTTTTGAGGTTACTATTGAAATATCTCTTTAATTTGTCTTTGATTTCAGTTAATCCTCCAATTTAGTAATGTTAAGATTGTTTCCCATTTTTTAAGGTTGTTTTCCATTGTTGTTTACAGGTCCATAATGACCGACTTGTACTACCTCAGTCAAACAGATGGAGCAGGAGATTGGCGAGAAAAAGAGGCCAAAGATCTAACAGATTTGGTACAGAGGAGAATAACTTATTTACAGGTAAGAGGATAGAGCTTTYGAATCAAGGTAAACACTTTTCTTGTTATATACATAGCACTTAGCTAAACCCTTATAATAGAATAATTGCATGACTGTTTAAAATGAATGTTGGTATATGATCAAATTATATAGAACAGAAATTGTTACATTTGTTTCAAACATTATTTTACATGTATATGGAACGTCTATATATTCCAAGGCAATCTTAGGGGTTTGAATTTTTGTTGTTGGTTATTTTGGGTTGCATCTCTGTTTGTAGTCTTGGATCTGTTTTTTGGATCTGTTTTTTACTGGGCTGTAGTTACCTGTTTGAATTTTTCATTTTATTATAAAAGATAATTCTCTGATTACTTTTTTTTTATTCTTTAGAGTGTCAAAATGCAGAAATAGGTTTGCAAAGTGTTAATAATAAAAATATAAAAGTCCTTATATTAAACTTCTGAACTAGCAACCCATTTTAAAAAACATAAGTATGCAAAATGGAGTGCTTATGTGGGAGATTGTCTAGTCCTAGATTGTTTCAGCAGATGTTTGAGACTTCTCTAGATGCTCATATTTTTGAGTGTCTAAGTCCTTTTTAATATATGTGCTTGTGTGTCTGTATAAAATTTAAATGAAACTTGATCTGAAGATGTTGGGACCTTTTTTATGGCTGAATGCATGCAGCTATTTATGTAGTGATCAAAAAGATATTTAATRTAGTCTGTTTTATTTGTAYKTGGTTTATTTTTTATGGAATGTGTGCAGCTGTTTTGTATGGTCACTCCCTAATGCCTGATCTCTTCTCTTGTGTAAATAGCTAAATTTGTTTCTCAGATTTTCATTATTTCACAGTTCAGTTGTTGGAACCTTCTCTTCTGTGACCAAGCTATGTATTTGTTGCTTGTTAAATAAAAAAGACACCCTTCTGAGGAAAAGCATMTCTCTAAATTGTGCAGGAGTAATCACTTTATTGTGTTTCTTCAGCTCCTTTCTGAGAACTGTTCCTTATTTTCTCATTTTGATGTCATTGTTTGGCAGTAGTGTATTGTAACTGCTTTTCATGCTGATAAATAGAGCCTTTCTATACTTTTTCCTCATCTTTTCACTATCCATTTGTTGTCTTAATTTAGTATTACAACTGTGCAAGTAATCAAAAAGAGCACAAAGTTACTGGCTTTAACAAATATGCAGCAATGTAAAGCAGTCAAATGGTTTGAAACACACACATATATAACCTCTATTAATAATAAAACTATATTAAAAAATAAAATAAAATAAAAAATTCAGCAACCCTTGCTCCTCAACTTGATGCTGAGAARAATTATATGAGACATATTTGTAATTTTTTTTTTTTAGTTAAGTATGAAAGTACTGGGTAGCATTTTTCTGGTACATGTTGAACAGTGACAGCTGCATTATTTTGGGACATCTCCCTGGGAAGTCATTTAGCTGAATGATTGTGAATAGTGATGACTGCTACTCCATTTGGATGACATTACCATAAATTTGATTTAATGAGGCTACGTGTAACTAGTTTCCTGTAGTTAGAGTAGCATTTAAAAACCTAGGAACTTACATTTAAGGAAAAGGCCTTCTTTTCAGAGGTGTTTTTTACCAGTTGAAGAGAATATTTAAGAGAAGTCAGATAAGGGCACCTGTAGTACCATAATCAAGTAAGTAAATGATTATGAAGGCAGCAGTTTTCTGCCCCTTCTCTTTTGTGCTTATTTTTGTTGTGCTTATTTTAGGAAGATTGTGATTCAGCATGCAGTCTTTCAATAGCAGAATATTTTTGCCTCTGATTTAAAAAAAAAACACAAAACTTCTTATTCAACTTTGAAGGTTAAAAATATAATCAGGTGAGAAAGGTTACTAAATACTCAACAACACATCAATTATACTATTCATAATTTGCCATATTCGTACTGTTTAGTTGGGGTTTTGTAGGATGCAAAGAAAAGAAGGTTGGTCACAAGACTATGCTGAGAATTCTGGATTTTGCAGTATTTTTGGTGATTTAATATATCACTTAGATTTTTATGTCTTAAAGTGTATTAAATYCTCTCCCTCATATTAAAATTACTGATAAATATTTTTAATAAAAGTGCTCATGRAAAGCACTGGTATGAAAAGGTACGATTACAAATGACATCACAAAAGAAGGGGAATAGAAGATGGTATGAATTGCATTTGTGATTACTAGGACGAGGCACACCCTTCCTTGACATCATTCTCCCAAAAAAATGGGATTTTCCAAAGATTTTGGGTGGACCTCTCTTCTCCAGCAGACTGTGTAGCATCAAAGAATAAAATATTTATTGAAAATATAAAAAAAAAAACAACTTTGTTTTATGAGGTGTGTTTATGAGGTTACRTAGTAAATTGTAGCAGACTGCTTTCCCACTCCACTTTGATCTGTTGTGATTGATTGGATTAAGTAAATTTCTCTGAACTGTTTTAAATTCATAAACAACACAGTCGTTTCTCATATAGTGAAATGTATGTTGGGGAGCAGARTTTACTTTTGCCAGTTTGTCCTGTGTTTTGATGGTTGACTACACACTTGGCAGCACTGGAAAATGGTCAAGTTATGAAGCAGCACTTACGATGTCATTCCCATCTGAGTCTGCTTTCTGGGAATAGGTCAGCCAAGACCCTTGGAGGAAGACAATGGAAACCCTGAATTTGGTGAGAGCAGCAATGTATGCCCATGATGAAAGACCATAAAATCCATCTTTCCAGTTACAAAAATCCATTTGCCTTTTAGGTGTCATTCTCTTCCATAGAAATACATAATTTTACACTTGTGAAAATTTGGTCCTGTTTTCAGTTGCATTGTTCATAGAAGTAATTCTGGGAAAGACGAAAGGTGTGAGCTCTTGCATGGCTTGATAATCTATTCTACATATTGAAGGTGAAGGTGATTAGTCAGCTAAGGGTTTTTTGTTCGTTTGRGATTTTGTGTGTGTTTAATTTTTGTTTGGATTTTTTTGTATTTGTTTTTAATGCAGCTGTATGGCTATTACATTACTACAGTTTGACATTCCTGGAGGTCCCTTCCATCTCTCTCTTGATTATGTAGATCATTAAATTGGAGATAGGAGTGTGCAATGAGCAGTGTCATTAAGGTTGAGAACAGAGTGTACTGCTCATTCAAATCAGAGATTAATAATCCTTTTCCGTGACTTTGTGCCAGGAGGAAAACTCTTCTGTGAGTCTTAATTGGTTTTGAAATTGACTATTATCCTTTATCAACTCAGTACTTTAACTGGTTGCTTTGGTTGGCAGTTTTGGTTATGAACACCAAGCTATTCTGAGGATTGAACTGTAACTTTTCCAGAAACACCAGTTGAAACTGCAACATATCTAAGTATCTSTGCTTCCCTTTGTCTTTTAAAATTCTCAGTAGAAAATTGAAGCTCAAATACTGCTTTGTCTTTTTGCTACTTGAGTATAGCATTTTGAAAAACCCCCATTCATAAAGAAATTGGTTAATTTAGTCCTTTTTAAGTCACAAACTAATACTAATATATATATAGTTTTTTATTAAATCACCAAATAATGTTAAAATCCAAGTAAGTGCATTATATTATCATTGGTAAGCAGTCACACTATCAAATTATATTTCATTATGTGATTACCACTTGATTTTCATAATATTGTGCATAAGTTATTGTATGAGGCTTGCATTTTCATGAAAGGAAGTTAGAAGGGCATACCTTGACAATACTTCAAATATGTCATCGATTAAATGCTTTCATTTTAGAGGACACAGGCATTTGAAGGTAATGGCAAGTGCAGAAAGCATTTTCTAAAARTTCCCAGAGATTATCCCTTTCAAAATAGTGTTGTGGCTTTACCCAAGACAGCCACAAAGTACCCCTCAGACATGCCTCCTCCTCCCTGGTGGGACAGGAGGGAGATTCAATGAGTAAAAAACCACAAACGCACAAAAAAACCCCACAAAGAAACCCCAATGTGGATTGAGATAAGAACARTTTATTAACTGAAACTAAGTAAAAGATAAAAATACTAATGATAATTGTAATAATGAAAATTACTAGTGCTATTACTAATAATATAATGAGGTATTTTTTTGTGGAATTCTTTCTATGTGAATTTGTACTGAATACTAGAAAGGCCCTCTTTCTCTTCTGAAAGACTGTAGGAAATACATTGGTTGTAATTTTGAAGATACCYGCTAGATTTAGTCTCAAGTTTTCCATTAGATTTGTCATGGCAAAAGTACTGGTCTGAGGAACAAAAATAAGAAATAGAAATTTGATTTAATTTCATTGTTTTCACACCTAGTTAAGCTTTTTCCCTAAAATAAAATAAAATTAAAAAAAAAAAAAAGCTGAAGTTATAGCACATGTAGAGTTTTCAGTTTGTTTTTGTTTTGGATGTTTTTTTATTTTTCCCTCCCAGTCTGAATTGTCCTCCCCTCCTTTGCACAACTGAATGCACAAATTAATTTTCTTTTAAAGTATTTTAGGACTCAGAATATTCACATTATCTTCAAGATCACTGGAAGAMGGGATCTCAGGGATCATTGTTTTTGAAAAGACTTGATTTGATTGTTTCGAATTTACAGAAAATTTTATTTAAAGTTGTTTTGTATGTGAARGAAACAGAATTTATGTTGATGCTCAAATATCAGTGTTCTCACAGCATATCTGAAACTAACTTTCATGGTAGAGATTTTATGGAAAAACTTTCTGGAGTTTAGAATTCTATCTAAAGACATTCAAATATGAATGTATACAGGAAAGTACTATGTTTTACAGAAAGAAAAGATTCTGTTGAGTATGTTTTTCTGTTGTCCACGTGCCTRAAAATATTTATTAGTTTGTCCTTTAAACACAGCATTCATATAATGTAGGAATTTGCCTCCTGTCTTGTTTCTTGGTTTGGGGGAGCTAAGCATGTTATTTTGTGGAGAGTGTATGCAGATAAAAATTCTGTCCTTGATCGGTCTGCTCAGGGATGTGTTTGACATTGTGTATTTGGTATGTGGTCACTTAGTCTGAGAAGCAGTCCCTTAATAAGAATTTGTTTTATTCTRTACCATTTGATTTATTCTGTACCATGTAGACAGGTGGAAATTTTCTTTTATTGGATGGCATCCGTGCTTATTGAAAGAGAACTAACAAACTTGAAAAGATGCCAAAGGGAAAAGCATTCCAACACTGAGAATCATGTTGATGAAATGTGAACTCGGAGTCCAAATGTTGGCTTATTCTGACAGATTTACAAATGAGAAAGTAATTTAAAATCTTGAATGTATTCTATTTTACATTAGGATAGTGAAGCATGTTCAATAACCGTTCGTGTTCACAGTGAAGAATTCACATAAATTTTTCATGGARCTGAAGCTTACTCATCCATTTTAATAGGAGATGTATTTGAGCAGGATGGCTTTGTGTGATTGATGACATTCGTCAGTTTTTCAGAGAAACGTACGCCTTTGTGTGCATCTTCTCCTCAGCTTCACTCTTTCATCCGTCCTTACAGAACCCGAAGGATTGCAGCAAAGCTAAGAAACTCGTGTGCAACATCAACAAAGGCTGTGGCTATGGCTGCCAGCTTCACCACGTGGTCTATTGCTTCATGATCGCGTACGGCACCCAGCGCACGCTCATCCTGGAGTCGCAGAACTGGCGCTACGCCACCGGCGGCTGGGAGACCGTGTTCCGCCCCGTCAGCGAGACCTGCACCGACAGATCGGGCTCCACCACTGGCCACTGGTCAGGTAAGGCACACACAATCACAGAATTTCTCCATGGGCTTTTTTTGCAGCTTCATTCACGTAGTATTATTTCGTTGTCTCTTTAATGTCGTGTGGAGCTTAATAACTATGACTGCAATTGTGTGCGTAAGCATCGTTTTTATCTTATTTGCCTCCTGTTGTAAAAAAATCCTTATTAAGATAGCTCTGCATTGGCAGAGTTTTTTTTAAAATGAAACTTCTGTATTGCAGATTTAAATTGTAATTCTTCAGCAGGCTGCTGCTGTGTTCTCTGCCAGATATTAATTCAATTTTTATGGGAAGAGTATTAAATAGGTGCTGTTGTTGATAAAATTTTTTTTAAAAGAAAGTGTTTCCAATATAAAGCAATAGAAATATAAAGAAAATGGTATCCAGTAGTCATTCACACCCCAACAAAATAATTAAGTAGCTGAAATAATTCCTAATGCATGCTGAATAGATCCAATATGCATGTTGTAAAAACAATAGCAAAGTTAAATATGCATTTTGTTTGTACATCAGCAAGTTGGTCCATTCTTATACCATGCAGAACAATTTTTTCCTAGAAGAAGTAGATGGACATTGATGTTTGGAGATTAGGTGGCTTTGTTGGTCTCAAAGTAAGCAGTATTTGTTTAAATGACATCTTTCTCCATGTGATTGATAGTCCAAACATGTCAACATCTTCAGTCTTTTCACTATGACACTGCATACCCAGTGCATATGGAATTTTAAAGTAACTATTAAAGTTTTACAGATCTGAAATTAACTTAATCAGATTTTCAGAATCCAATTTACAGATTGTGTGTAAACTTGTATGTTTACACATTGAAACAGCATTTGCACATTGAAATAGCATCTGTTCTTCAAAGCTTCAAGACACTACAAAACGTAGCTTTGAGAATTCTAGTGGGTTTTGTGAATGAGATTTAAAAAAAAAAAAAGTTACTTACAAATGGTTGGATGTTTTATAAAAAGAACTATAAATGGAAAACGGATATTGAGAACTCCAGATGAAGTTTTATTCGTGTTTGGCCAAGTTAGTGAGTGAAACYACCATCTGGACATAGTTCTCAGCAGACTCCACTACGTGACTCCAGAATTTAGAAGCAGGCAGTTTTGTGAGCACCTTTTTAGCACAGTAAGCTGAAAACAGTGTTCTGAAACGCTCATGCACACATGCCTTCAAAAGATTCTATATTTTCATGAATATTTATTTAAACAGTTGATGATTTCCTGCAATATAGACTCTTGCTGATGGAAGTACAAATAATGCTTCATTTCAGCTCCCTACAGTTTGGGTTCTGTTTTTTTTTTTTTTTTCCTATTTTTTTCTTTTCAATTAATTTCTAGATCAGGATTAATAGTTTGAAGGCTGAAATATTATGATATATTGTGATGTGATCAATTATTTTATAAATAATGAATGCCACTGATTTGAGTTCAGATGTTCTAGAGCTAGAAGCCATTGAACTGTGAAAGGCAATCTTTCTATAGTCTATTGGCCAGCCACACGTGCTGTAAACTGGTTATTCTTGTCTTGTGGAATGGCTTGGTCAGTGAGGATCAATAATACTGAAAATCCATCTCTTTACTAGTCTCAGTGTGGCTTCAGTAGGAATCTTCACTGGATACTTAATTGCTGATAAATTTCAGAGATATTCTATCTTGCTGAAGGTTTCTGTATGCTTTTTATGTCTCCCTAAATTTATATGGATTTTTATTTACTTTTATATCTATTTATTTATTCCCTGTTTTTACAGAGAGAAATAAATCTGGAATTCTTAACTCTAGTTAGGAGCAGTTTATTTGCAAAACCACACCTTTAATTTTTTTCCCCTACAGATTCTGAAATCAGCATGGGATTTTCTAGATAGTCAAAATAAATATATAAAAATTGACGTTTATCAATTTTAATTTCTCATAAAAATGTTTCTTCTATGTAGCATAGGGATTTTTCATGATTTTTTTAAATTTATGTTTCAAAAATATTAATACAAGTGAATAATTATGAGAGTTCAGTGTACATTATAGAAATAGGCCCACAAGTCAGAAAAGTATATCATCTAAGAGAGATGCTTTCATGTAATTTGCAGACCTGCAGAGATAATAATTTAGTAAAATGTGATTGATGACAGTTTTGTTTACATTTGTACATATATATTTCTTCTTTTTAATTAAATTGTCTCTTCTCTTGTTGTCTCTTGACACTTCTATTTTAGTTTTATTAGCAGTAYAAAATTTTGAAGTTTCAGAAATTTATCTTCAGTGGAACAATTCAGATATTAATACCTTCTACAACGAATTAAGAGGCTTATATAAGCTGAGAATACATACAGTTCTGAAATTTTCTTTGTCCCATCTTCTGCTAACTAGGTATAAAAGCTAAGCTTGTTCTTGGAATGTAGGAAGTAGAGTGAATTTTAATGAGCAAGCAATATTTGTCTGATAGTAAAAGATTAGTTAGGTGTGTGCTCATCTGCAGGGAATTAGGGGTCATCTCAGCCCTCATCATGCTTGCAGGAATTGTGGTAGTTCTGTGGTAGTTCTGTAATAAGTTTTTTGTCTTAAACTTATTAAATGWTTGAGAATTCTATTGCAGATTTGTGTAAATACAGCAGTTATTTTACACTGTGGCGTAATTTTTCTTTTTCCTTTGTTTTACTCATACTGTCATTCTAGAGTAAAAAGGTCTTGAGAGATGGTTGCAAACATGCTCTTTTTAGTTCTAAAATTATACTTGCCTTTAATTGCATCTTGCTTGTAGTTCATTTTTCCTTTGATATTTGTGGTCAAACTGTTTATGAATAATTTAGGTAGGAATTTTTATAAGAAGCATGAATGATTTCCTAGCAATAAGCACCAAAATATAGAGAATTTCTGAAGACATATTTATAATGAAATTKTTGATTAATTTTCTTTAAATTAATTAGTTTGGCAGGTCATAATGTTCTGTTATCATTGCTGCATGCTATTATGGAGTAAGCCTCTTCTTACCATTTTTTCAGTGGCTGATTTATGATATTAYAGTGGCATTCCCCATTAATAAATTGAAAGAGGACTATAAAATAATTAGACAAAAAACAAATCATACAGTAAAAGGAAAAGAAAACTTATTAATAGGGAGGACAGATTAATGTACTGTTAGAAGTCCTATCTGCATTTCATACTGGAGAATGAAGGGATGTGGMAGTACAGAAGCCATCTACATGCTTTAAATAACAGTATGTGCTCCTTCCCACAAGGCCTAAAACCCAGGAAGATGAAAGATAACTTGAAAAAGGAAACCTGAAACAAAGTTTCCTGCAGTTATCCTTGAATATTGATTTCGCTGCCTCTAAGTATGGTTTGATGAATTACTGCTTTTGAGGAAGGGATACCCAGAGGGGAGAAAATGGCAGAGCTCTTCATTTRTTGGTAGTGCCAGCTTTTAAGTATTAATTGAACTACAATCTTAAAATATGAATTAACTAATATGTTTATATGTATAATTCAAGAACGAGGATACTGTGGGTACACAAAATGAATGTTTAATTTATTAAAGCATATCTGGCAACAGTAATCAAAAGGACTAAATAAAAATTTCAAAATCAAACCATAAAAAGTTGTACAGAATTCATTGCAATAAATTATAAACTTTCACTCCATGAACTAGATATTCCTTGACAGTAGTTTTTTTTTTTTTAAATGTAAATCAGCTGAATATTTAGTACTGGCCTAAAAAACCCTTTAACTTGCATACAATTGTATAAATYATGTTTTGCACCCATGTCTCACTCTTATTCATAAAATCTTTCAGAAAAGAAACAGATTCATTTTTAATTCTAATTCTTCATGYTGTTTTTATATGATTAGTTGCAACAAGTTCCCTTTCTGTGAAACAAGCTGGAGAATGGTGATTTGAGAGAACAGAGTGTCATACCAACCTCTGTATTTTCCCTTTTTTTCAGTTGTGTTAATCTTGAAATCAAGCTACTGATACTGCGTAGATTTTTTTATCCTCAAGGTGCCTTGTAAGATACTTTCTGTAAACACGTAAATACATTTAGAAAGTGTAAGAAACTTTTAAAAGGACCTTGGAATTCTAATGAGGTAGTTCTGAGTAGCCTAGAGAGCAAAGTGGGATCCTTATTTGTGTCTAAGTGGAGGGTTATTGAATAATAGCAAGAAGTTATTTTCACCTTGCAGAGCAATGACAGGCTGCAGAATACTGTCTGCTGTTATCTGGCCTTCAACATGGATTTTGATAAATATGAAAGGATTCTGAGAGAGACCTGCACTGATTCAAGGACATAAAAACCTGCTTTACTGTAGGAGATTAAAAACCATAATTCAACTCAAAAATAAAGCAAGTTTTAAAAGCTGGTCCTGCCACATTTTATAGATATTTCTATATGGGAGATATTTCTACTTTTAGACAAAGAGGTGGCTGGACAATTTTGATTGGAAATGAGGTCTGCTTTTAACAACTTGTTGCTGCTGTTGACCCCTATTTTAGCAACTGGTCCAGAAGCAGAAAAGCAAAAAAATTGCATGATCTGAAATTGGAATTGTAGGAGATCCAGTCCTTTCTTATAACGTCATTTCTTTTGAATGCCTTTGTGCTTTATCTGGTATTACATATCCCGTGACAAACTTCAACAAAACCGTTTGGGCTTTTTTGCAARTGCCCTTAACTAAAGTAGTGGTTTTAAATTTCCAGTAATGTGCAAATTAATAATAGCTTATTACTGTAATAGGGAGAAAGCATCTGTATTTCTGTGTGTTTTGTCTTGGGTTTTTTTTGTAATACTTCCATTACATTTTCCCCTATGACCAAAGTTCAGAAAAATGTCCTTGTCCATTATTCCAGGCTTACCCTCTTGATTTTCTTCCTTTCATACTGATAGATCATAGGAAGTAGGATGCATCCCTGTTTCTTTCAGATGCACTGTTAAGGTGACATGTGCCTCACTGCTATGAATTTTAAACAACGTGGAATTTTTATTCTCTCCTGTTTTATT